GGATGGGTCGAGGGGTTCTGGGGGGGCCAATCAGGGGACAGGCAGTGGTTGGATAGGCGTGGGAGTCCCGGGAGTCTGTCAGGGGGCGGAGGTGTGGATAGGGGTTGGGGCAGTCAGGGGACAGGTGGGGACCTAGGGGGGCAGTAGGGTGTGGGGGTCTCAGGAGGGGGCAGTCGGGGACAAGGAGAAGGGAGACTTAGATAGGGGGTGGGGTCCCTGGAGGGGGCGATCAGGGGACAAGGAGCAGCGGGGGTTGGATGGGTTGGGGGTTCTGTGGAGGGCAGTTGGGGGGCGGGAAGTGGGAGTGGATAGGGGGTGGGGCTATTCCCCCCTTCCCCGTGAAGTGACCTCTTTTTTGAATGTGGTATCCCTACCGTTCACAGTGCCACCCCGTTCTAGCAGTGAGCTCTCCATTCACAGCAAGCCTCCGCATGAGGTCTCAGCTACCTACCTACCTCCCCCTCCCTTTCCTGTTGATAGTGGCCAAGGGAATGCTGGGAAATGTAGTTATTTCCCTGCTCCAGGGCTGGCTCTATAGGCAGGGAGATAACCAAAGAACTACAGCTCCCATGCCACCCCTGAAAATGTGCCGCCCCAAGCACCTGCTTGCTTTGCTGGTGCTTAGAGCCGGCCCTGTGAATACCCTAAAAATTCAGGAGTGCTCAAGCTCAATTTGGGCAGCTGTTACTTTATTTCTCCCAAATAAAATATACTGATCCACTGTAACTTGCTGTAGAAAAAGTAGGATAAAATAGAGCAAGAAATGCTTCCCAGTAGTTATTAGGACTGGAATTGCTATTTTCAACAGTCATTGACTTTTTTTTTTAATTTTGTTTGTTTAGAAGGAAGACAGCAATATTGCATTGGCAAATTCCCCACAGAAACGAAGAGTGGAACAAAAGAATAATAAAGGCACCTCAACTTTTCTTCATTTATGTAGGGCAGTCATAATATGCATCCAGATATTCTCCAATCACAAGCTGAAAATTGTTCCACTTTACTGCAGTTCTGTAACCAGATGTGAACCAATCCTGTCTGTGTTCTGTGCACGTCCAAAATTCCTTCTGAATGACACGCCCTGGGAGCAAGTTACCAGTGACCCAGGGCTGGGGTGCAGGAGGGTGTGGTTGGTGGGAGTGGGGGGCAGGGCTGGGGCGGCAGGGGGGATAGGTGGGGGGGAAAGCCCAGGGCTGGGGCAGCAGGGGGTGCTGGTTGGGGGGGGGAGAGCCCAGGGCTGGGGCAGCAGAGGGTGCGGGGAGTGGGGGAGCCCAGGGCTGGGGTGGGGGACAGCCAAAAAAAATGTTGGTTGGAACGGCAAAAAAACTAGAGCTGGCCCTGCCCAGCCCCAAGGGATGAGCCGGAGCTCTCTGCCTGGGAGTGGATTTTATAGGAAAAGAGGAGATTCCAGAGACCCCCAAATAAAGGGGTCTGGGCTGATGGGCACCTGGCCCCAGGGGCTGCCCCGAGCCCTGGCTGGCAACAGGGGACAGGTTTCTCTGCGGCTCTGTCTCTGTTTCGTTCGCGCTGGAGGTTTCTCTCTGTTCAGGCAGGCGAGAAGGGTTCTGGCCGGATTCCCCCCTGTGCCACGCTTCTGCCCTTGGGGAGCGCAGGGAGGGCAGCTCATTAGCTGCAGTCGATAGCGGGCCCTGGCTGTTGCTACGGGAGGGGGCGGGACGGGAGGCTGCTGCTGCTACTGCTTTCTGCATGCAGGCTGCACTTCCTAGGTCAGACACTATTGCTCCATCCGGAGTAGCTGCTCCTCCCGTCCCCTCCCCAGCGGGGTCTGTGCGGGGAGAGCCCTTTCCTACAGCCCCTCTGTGTCCAGCCGGAGGGGTGACCCATCTTTGCTCCCGGGCGGGGATCTGCGAAGCTCAGCGCTGCTGCCCCCCTGAGCGCCTGCAGGAGTCGAGCCAGCTCCGGGAGAGCGAACGCCCCGGACCCGGGCCAGGGACCGAGTCTCCCAGCCCGAGAGGAGAGGGGGCAGGAGGGAGAGACTGGACGGGGCAGTAGGAGCAATAAGGGGGTGTATACAGATCTCTGATCAGATCCTTAGGGGGGGGGGGTTGAACCTGTTTGGCCCACATCCCAGCTGAGTGCTAACTACTGGGCTCTGAGTCATACAGTGGGCACTTTCTCCTCTGGGTTTGGAACGGCCCCTGGCTGAGGCATGCTCTGAGCACACCTAGCAGATCAGGCTTTGCAGGGAAGTAAGGCATTCACCTGCCTGGCTTAGCCTGGTTCAGGGATCGTGCTGGGGTTCAGAAAGGAGATAGTGTCTGGATGCCTAGAGGGAGGCAGCGGTGTGCATGACCAGAAAAGGAACTTAGGCAGCTAGGGAACTTTTACAGCAGTAATTTAGACCTGCAGTGAGAGTGGGGTTGTATAAAGGTGGCACCTGAAACTGACATAGGCACCTAAATCTGAGCCAGTTAGCTTATCTGAATGATTACACAGGCCCAGGAGGAGGCTGTGAACTTGTGAGTTTAGGAGAGAGTGCCTGGCTGGATTAGCACCTGGGCTCACAGAAGATGGATGGACAGGAAGGGTTAAAGATTTGTACTTTTGAGTTAATGAAATAAGCCCACAAAGGAGGAATGTTGGTCTGAGCATTCTGGTCTGGGAGTAATCATTGCAAGACGGCAAGAGAGCAAGAAAGAGCTGCAGGTCTGCAGGACCGAGCATGCCACCAGGGGGTGGCTCCTGGGTGGCACACCATCACTCCAGTCAAGCATGAGAAAGCCAGGAAAGGCCACAGGTAAGGGACCCCTTGTGGATCTTTAACTGCCCCCTTTTGCTTAAGAATTCAGGGCCGGCTTTAGGCCAATTCAACCAATTCCCCTGAATCAGGCCCCACGCCTAAGAGGGCCCCGCGCCCCTAAAGAGGAGAATCGGTTGAATCAGCCTAAAGCTGGCCCTGCCCGGGCCCTTTAAATAGCCCCCAGAGCCCTGGGGTAGCAGGGGCTCTGGGGGCTATTTAAAGGGCCAGGGCTCCAGCTGCCTCTGCCGCCCCATCCTTTAAATAGCCGCGGGAGCCCCACCTTCCCCAGGGCTCCTGCGGCTATTTAAAGGGCTGGGGCGGTAGAAGCAGGGGAGCCCCAGGCCCTTTAAATAGCCCCCGAGCCCCAGGCTGCTGCTGCTACCCCCTGTCCTGCCCACACCAGCCCCACCCCCCCTGCCCTGCCCGCAGCCAACCCCTGTCTCCAGCCAGCCCCACACCCCCTGCCCGCAGCTAGCCCCTGCTGCACCCCCTGCCCTGCCCGCACCAGCCCTTGTCTCCAGGAGGGAGGAGGAGAGGGCACTTACTGTACAGGGTGGGCTGGGGGCTGGCTCTAACCCCCTCAGCCAGTGATGAGCTGGAGTTGGTTCGCACAAACCGGTTGTTAAATTTTAAAGCAGTTTTGGAACCACTTGTTAACCGGCTTCCCTGCGAGGGGGTGCTGCGGCTTTGATGGGCTCTGGCTGGGAAGTGTGTAATTCCTCCTCCAGCTGCTGGGGGTGCTGCGCTGCGGGAGCCATGTGGGCCACCTCCTGGTCCTGTTGCTGCTGCTGCTCCTCGGACCTCTGGCCCTGGGGCTCCCGCTGCTGCCTGGTGGGTCCCCAGCTGCTCTGCTGGGCCTGGGCTGCGTCCTGCTGCTCCAAGGTGCCCTCCCGGTGAGTACCCACCACCCTGCCTGCAGCCAGCTCCTGTCTGCTGCCAGTCCCTGCTGCACCCCCTGCCCACAGCCAGCCCGTCTCCAGCCAGGCCCGCACCCCCCGCCCTGCTCGCAGCCAGCCCCTGTCTCCAGCCAGCTCTGCACCCCCTGCCCTGCCTGCAGCCAGACGCTACCTCCAGTCAGCCCCTGCCCTGCCTCCAGCCAGCCCCATGTCCACTGGTGCCCTGCAGTTCCCAGGGCAGTAACCCTGCACACCTGCTTCAATGGGGGGGGGAAGAGCAGCTGGGACCCACACATGTGCACACGTCACACCCCCAGGGAGTGGCGGGGACCCAC